CCTTTTGGATCCAATCGTGAGTTGAGAACTGATAGATGAATGCTAATCCTTTACCAAGATTGTTCAACAGGCAAAGAAGCCCTGGAATAACAATCACCCGACGACGTCTACCCCATATGAGATAGCACCTCCCCAGCTAAGGCCGATTCACGAATATCGTCAGGGAGAAATCCCCGAACATTGTGGATGTAGTGTATTTGAAAGATGAGCTTACCAGAATAAGGTCCATTACAATGCTACGGGATGCATTGTTATCATTGTATCCAAATAGCTGAACGGAAAGAGACTTACTTTGCCGCCACCAAGATGGTGGTAGCAGTGGTATTCAAGACACTGATTTACGTTCAGGGTGGGCTCAGTGAATGAAGAAACTGGCCAAGAAACAAACAACTCACTTGCGGCGGTCCCGAAGGAACGAGGCGGTTGAAATACGGTTCAACGTTGCATCGGCTTCGAGATAACTCTTGACTGCTACTCCCTGGGGCTTCTTTCCCTCCCAACCCCAGCTAATATACGACCTTGTGCTTCGTTCATCGTACGCAGTGAATACCATAGCAAAATTCACGGCGAGGCTGCCGGTCGCCAAGGCAAATAGGCCGACGAGAAGAACGCAGTGGAGGCGAAATTGTGCATGTCTACGTCGAATTATAATTGAGATGCATGTTGCGAAGAGAACCACATAGATGCCTGGCGACCGAAGTCCATATTATGAACGCTCGCGAAGAAGAGTCGAACGGCAGCCAGGGTTGACTCACCGTATAAAAGGAAAGTTGCCTGGTTAATCGTAGGTGAGATCAAAAAAATGGGCAGGACGTTTCAGGATGGTTTTATATCACTCACACATGCCAGAACAACAGATTTCGTGAATGGGTCTCGATCCTTGCAACCGGGCGCCCCGCCGTAAAACCCGATACAATTGTAATATATTGCCAAAGTTGTTGTGGGATAAGGTTTGGGCGAAGTTGTTGCAGACATCGGGGAAATAGAGGTGATACTACGCCTGGTTCAGAGTTCATTAAATATCTTCCGAGCCAAGTAATCGTGGTAAAGGACACCTAGTACCATGACCATCATTGATGTAGCAAGCGAGGGGTGGTCTGGGATCACCGGCAAAGGCATTTGATAACTGCGAGATCAGATTTCGAAGGCCGCCACTGTTTTCAACTCATTAATGCCCGCGAGCCATGGGCCACGCCATGCTACAATTATTCCTGTCAAAGAAGAAGGTAGATGTGGAGAGAATCACTGATACAACAATGTTGTTGTATCTGGTGACTCTGTTGATACTCGGGTTGAGCTCGACCCAACCCTGTAATGGGAATCTTGGGATCGTGTGCTGCCTGACATCGTCCCGTAAGTTGCCATCATGATCACCCCCCACGCTCTTCTCTCCGAATGCTCGGTCCAGGCTGCTGGGTAAATCCGCTTCTGTCTGTTGCATCTCTGTACTACCAGTGTTCGTATCTCCGGCGAAAGAGATTTAGGGCATTATAGCAGATGACAAACGCAAGATTTGATCGAACACACATGCCAGTATGGCGAAAACCCACCTTGTGACAGCATTCGAAGCTATAATGGAAACAGTGAGGGATCCGCACTTACTTTTTTCCCGACACAACTCCCCTCAACATTCATCGGCACCCCAGACCCGCGAGCCCATTGGCATACACCTCGCCTCCCCTTGGTTTTAAAGATTATGTGCTGTGGTAAGCTACCCGCAGGCGTGCGACCGCCAGACCGGCTCAACTTGATTTACGCTGAGACTGAGAACAACTGATCTTGCAGCAAACTCGAGGCAGTTGAGTTCAACAATAGTACACTCTAACAAAGTTGCGGAGAGGACCTTTGATCTTCCGGGTGTCCTGACTTTCGGCATCCAGAGGATGAGTGATTACGAGAAATATCACCTATTAGGTACATATCCGTAGAGCCCTCTTCGACCCAGTACAAAATGTGGACCCTTTCCAATCATCAAGGCGAGCCCATGAATCGTTCAGCTTCCACCTAACACTCCTCAGTCATACAAGCTTGCTCGCTACGGCTAAGACATGATTTCCGAAGACATTAGGATCGCCAAATATCCCAGTACTGTTACATACACCTGAAACTCCCAAACGCACCACAACGCATAATGACGAGAAAAAACGGCGGCTACCAAAGATTTTGCCACCGCCCCGAGGACACAAACTCAAAGGTATCTGTTCATATGGTCAATTACGCACGTCTCTTTCCCTTTAACCCAAATGTGGCACTCACATATACTGAACTCCGGCCCACACTCACAATTCCTCCCCCCCTCATCTCTCCCGTAGAGTAAAACTCAAACGGCGGGTGTATATACCCAAAGTCGTCAAAGAAATAGAGTTTGTTCTCATAAACGAGGAGGCAAGGGCGATTGTGTGGATCGGAGCGTCTCCCCAGCATCGTCGAGTAGAGTCCGCGTCAGCGTCCGGATAGGGAGTGGGGGACGTGATAAAATCTGCCGTTGCAGTCTAAAACAAAAACTCGAATTACTCGAGTTAAGGCTTGCTCCTATAAAAATCAAGGTTGGCGAATTCGAAGTCATCTCGAACTATGTAGCTCATTGCTCAATTATGGGGAGGGAGGGAACATCGGTAAGGTACTATCGCGTTGTTCAGGGCGAGGTGGGGTGGGTGGGTTGTGAGTTGTGTTGTTGTGAGGTTGGTGGGATTGAACGGGTCAACAACGAAGCGTGTGGTCGATTGGCATTCGTTCAGGGTTATCCTGAAGCCTGACAACGGAATAAATGCTATTGAGAACAGTTCCATTGTTTGGATACATCAGACAAGAGACGGACCGTATCTCTTACCGTGGACTCGCATATACTCAAGCAGGTCGTAGGTGAAATCGCACGGTAACGGAAGTCCTAGCCTGCGTAGTCTATAACAGCAAGGGTGAGTCAAGTCAGACACCAATATAAAGTCCGAACGACGGAGTCGATGCGCCAATAGTACTTGTATGGCTGCATCAACGAGCGTCGGGGAAAGAACTGTTCGAGGTACAAAAATGAGATCCCCTGAAGGCGGAGTTCAGCATAACACGCCGGCACACTGTGTACGATTCGGAGATGCAAGAACAACCAGAACTTAAAATCACAGAGAACGGTAAAGAATGCACCAGCGTAAGTGACGCCTTGATTCTGCAGCTTTATCCTTCCCTCCATGGCCTTCTCCCCGTCTATCCGTTCCAGCGGATACCAATAATCGTACGGTATACGCCGAACTCAACAGGGAAACGTGCCGAAAACAGGGATTGTATTGATCAGGATCCACCAGCGATGTTTGCACCCACATACCTTTCGAACTCATTCAAGAATACCTAAGCGTATGCAAACCTTTGGTTAAACCTCCTCTCTAGCTGTTCTATATTCGATAACATGTATTACGAGTAAGCATGAGAGGGGTGTCGTTCTCTTTGCCCTTTTTAGGGCGTGGTCAGAGCCTTCGTCGATATCTCATATTGTCGTTGTTCCCCTACATCGTCTCCGCGTCCGTGTTTGTGTTCGCCAACGCCGGTCTTCTATGAACATTTATATCACGTTAGGAGGACTGATGTGAAGAAGAATGTTGACGTACGAAGACGACTACTCGGCATCAACAACTGGAAGCGGGGAGTATTATTGTCGGCGTTGGTCACATCCATGGAGACTAGGATTAGGATTGGGGTTAGGTCGAAAGCGGCGATTTGATATTGGCCTTTCCATTCACTTCTCCTTCCTCTACTCGACCTCCATCAGGATGGTAGGGGTGCCAGCGGGAGAGGGTGCGTCTTCGCCTACGCGTTCGGGATGGCTGGTAGGGAAGACGACGGTTCTGGCTGGGAGGTCGTTGGAGGACTGAATATCTTTTTCGTTGTGAGCTTCTGTTGATTGGCCGGCGATTGCCTATACCATTCGAGTCAGCGCTTGGAAGGACTCGAATACGGATATACACGTACGAGGTAGCGAGTTTTCTCACCGGTTGCGCTAGGGATTTCCTACCTAAGAGAGTTCAGCATTAACAAGGGGTGAGGCGTATACAGGACGAGACTTACGACGGCTAGCCCACTCCAAACTGCCTACTATACATCATCAATCTCCCCGCCATACCCGTGTTGACACTGATACCAACCGCCGTCGTATCCATATCGGTATCGTTGTCCAAGTCCATAGTCACGTTCATAAGTTTCGTTTGGTTCATGTTCATGTTGGTTGGAAGGAGTGGGGTCTGAGGTTTTCAAGTCAATGGGAGAAGAAAAAGAGAAAAGGAACAACGGAAACCACGAACGTCATCGTCCCAACCCTCTATAGCAGATTTTAAACTCACCAACTGATGCGGCGTCGAATACGTCTTCGTCTTCATATTCCCCTAGGCAAATCAACCAGAACATCTCTCCCTCTCCTCGACAGCGATCCAATCTGACGCGGTACCATAGGCGTAGCTCCCATTCCTAACACGCTGTATTCCTCTCCATCGGTCCTTCGAAAAAACGGGTATCCACCGCCGTCGTCTTTATGTGAGAGGAAGTACGAGTCGTCGTCGTCGTTGGAGATTTGGAGAGATTGTTCTTCAGACTCTCCTTCTGTCGATGCGGATAAATCGGGGAGATGTCGTAGACTTGGTTGGGTATTCGTAATGACTAAGTATAACCAGGCGTCGCCATTAGTACAGTTGCAGAGAGAGTGAGTAAAAAAAGACGACGAAGACGTATCCGAACCACCGTGGTTAGTGGTTAGATGATGATGACCGTCAATGCCAACAATAAATTAGCAAATTAGCGGCGAGAATTCAACAACAATGTCACGTTCGCGCGTCGGTCACAAGACTTTGCCGCCGGCGCCGGCACTTGACATAGGCAAATGTTTGGGGCAGCGTTTTTGTCCTCTAGCTCAACTGTGTGCAGAGTTTGGGAAAGGATTAGACTACAAGGACACTAACCAAAGGGAGAAAGATGTGCTGAGATAAAGAAAAAAAAGGACTCCTTGATGGAGGGATATAAATCTCCCTGGCTGGGAGTCGAACCCAGCTTTCGCGCGTCCAAAGTCTCAGCTTTCAGTGGCTGACAGGCGCGTGTACTAACCGATATACTACCAGGGAGTTACACTGCAAGGTGTTGCTCGGGTACATATAGCTGTCCGATTCTACCCTTCACACAGCCTTTGGAGTTTTCGAACGGAGAAAATAAAAATTCGGACCAAACATTCTCTTGTTGACCTTTAACACGGAGACTCGCGGCCTTACAACATGCACTTGCCTTCTAATCGATTAGATTTCAACGTGTTACCCAAGGGGCCAGGAGACATACAGTTTTGAATCTCCCAATCATTCGCAGAGCTGGATTCCTTATCCGTACTAAAGGGACACAAGTATGGCATGCACTCACAAATTGAAACTGTACTCCTCTATATATGCCCAATCACCCGCAATCCATCTAACTCCGTTATGGTGTAGTGACTAACATTATTGCCTCTCAGCCCATGATTTGATTCCCTGCAACGGAATAAATCATGTTCTCCGTTTTTTTCTTTCATTGTACGAACGAGGTTCTGTATTCACTATTCTCGGTTGGTAACCGTGTGTCGTGATATAAACCCTCCGACGACCTAAAGAAATGACAGTACCTAAACTCGACTTGGACGATCAATCTCCCACCCACCCGGTGCCTTTCCCTTACATACCATCAGCAGTGCCCACTCGAAAGGAGAGGGATTAGCAAGGATTCGGAACGAGCTTGCGGTTTCCACACATTATCCAAATTTGTGAAAGTCAATAGGGATAGTTAACCCCGACTAACATCAAAAACCAAGTTCCTGTTTTAGACAAAGTACAAGTGCGAGTGATTTCTTGATCTTAGCTTGGAGGACCTGACTCCAAGCACACTGTCTATACGCAATCACCCGTATTATTTGATAACTCCGTTATGGTGTAGTGGCTAACATTATCGCCTCTCATCCACAATTTCCCATTTGACTGCGCGATAGCCCAGGGTTCGATTCCCTGTAACGGAACTTATGACTTCTGGATGCTTTTTTGTTGGTATCGTCTTCCGACATTCTGCTCCCGAATCCAATCACTAAAACTTCTGGGAAGGAATCACGGGGGTTTTTTTTTCAGCCTTAGACTCGAGGTAGCACTATCCCCCCCAGTCGAGAAAGTCACTGTTTGGGAGAGGAGAAACTAACAGACACAGTTTAACAACCTATCTTTCGGAGAAGTCGCGATATAGTGATAATCCCTGAGAACGAACATGAACGCACAACTCTTTTTCTCGAGTGCCCTTCCGTCCGCTCAGAAACCAAAAGTCCCTGATATATATTCACCTAAGCAAGTCTCAACGCGACTCTCAGGGTGGATGTCCAATTAGACAGAGTATAGGTTAAGAAAGGCATGTCGTATTATTCTCAGGGCAACCCTCATCAATGCGACCAGCATGCCTCTGCAACGTCGATCATATGACATTCATTCAGCCTTGGACTGGAGGCCTCAGGCTACATCTCAAAGTTGATAGTGGACGGTGACAGAACACCCAGACTAGAACCACCGCTTCGCCAACTTTCGCCCGACGACAATTATGGCCGCTTGAAGCAAAGAAACGACGCCGGTACCCCCATTGATCCAGAGGTTCGAGCCCAGCTGCGAGAAATGGTGGAGAGAATTGCGAGGCCAGAAGCCGATCAAGCGCCTCCGATACCTGAGATTCTTGTTTTTCTCGAGTTCTCTACCCCTGTCCTCTAAAAATCGTACTTGGAGTCGCGCCAGGACAAATGATAAACTGTACGGCTCTCATTGTGGATCAATGTATCGGGCAAGTTACAGCAATCTGATTGCTCTTAACTTTCGTATCAGACTGATTTGGAATGCATGATGTTTAACTGTCCTCGGAGCAACCATATCTCCACGTTCGTGCCGCTGCAGTGACAGCCGACAGGAGTTTGTATCGGGTTATTTTTGGGATACTGCTAAAGAGAGATGTTTCTAGGTAGTAGTTTTTGATTCATCTGGTTTCGTGTGCCCATCATGGCTCACAAGTGACTCTCAAGTTGGGGAAACTTCAACTGCTTTTTTTTTTTTTGCGCGTGCCCCCCCCCCGATAAAGTACCTCCTATTGTCAGCGTCATGTTCGGGTTGACCACGAGAATGATGTATCCGAAACTTGACTTTGTCTCAGTTTAATCAATTGTGGACCGCTCGAAAAGCCCGGGGATTTATCATCATACAAAAAGTCGTATATCACACCTCTCTCGATGGCGTCCCTCGTGTCGAGTCCTTTTATATACTGCTACAACCTCCTCGTGACCTTTCATCTCATTCATAACTAGTTTTCAGCTGATAGTCTCGCGATTACTAGTAAGGTCTTCATGAACCTCCTCTTGTTCTCATTGTTGACAGTTTTCGAAGTTAGAACACCTTTTCCGAGCACTGTGACGCTTTCCCAGCCTTTCTCATTCACATGGGCGCGGGGCCAACAGGATCTGGACCCTGCCTACCTCGATTTTGCCGCGTTCTATCCGTCCACCTCGTTCACGGGGGAGCCCATCAACGTCGTTGCGAGTGTGGAACGTGTATTCATGATGACTGCACAGCCTCCGGGGTAAGTAATTGTGCTTTGGGCTCCGAACAAATTATTCGTGCTAACTAATAGACCACTTGGTTATCAGAGAATTCGACCTCAAAGGACGCACGGGATACACCTTTAGGGGGGAGTAGGAATAAGTACTTGAGCAGTCTTGATCATGAACAGTTGTTAATCATGACTCTATTGTTGAGCGACAGGGTAGGAGCTATATGATGACGTCGATCGCAGCCTCACGACAACACTTATTGACGCTCTTTTGCCAGCGCTAGCTTCCCGTCCACACCAAAATCGAATACATCAACCATCTTCGGTGGTGTGGTTGGGGGTATAGCTAGTATCATGATTCTCGTATTGATCATCTTCTTGTAGAGAAGGAGAATCAGTACATGCTACATCTGACCTCGAACTTCGTTCTGTTTCTTACCTCTCATCTTGATAGAACAACACCAAATCACTGCCGACACAGTACCTCGATCCCTCAACCCGCTAGTTTATCCTAACCCGGCAGAGAAATCAAACCTTTCTACGGTGGGGCGTCCCACAAAGGGCTATAGGAAGGGAAGGGGAGACCCATCAAGTCGGACTATTGATCGACGCGCCCAACGAGGGCCGACCGCACGGGGAAGTTCAAGCTCAAGATCTATCGCCAAATTCGCCGTCATCGACAACAGTATCTCCAGACGGTTCGCGAGGGTGAGAGGAGTTGCGAGTACAGATACAGGAAATGACGCAGAGAATGGCGAGGTTGGAGGCTCATATGGCACCACCAACCTACGACTCTTCTCCTTAACCTTCGCATAGTGAAAAAAGTTGACACGTATTCTCCAAGTGACTACCTCGTTAATGGTTATGTATCGGTCAGGTCAACAGAACTCTGTCTTCTACATCAGTGACTCCCTGGACGGCACCTATCAGGCCACTGATTCATCACGCTTCCCTGCTCTAACTGATCGGGTCGACCGGCGGATGTCAATGACACTGCTCGCCCACCCTACTGGAGCACCCCCACTGTGTACGGACTCAGGGTCTCCTGATACATTTGTCTTATACGTTTCTTGTTAATGGGCGGCCATGATTGAGGTTGGGAAGCTTGCCGCGAGGCTCCAGGACAGCATATTCAAAGTTTGAGATTGTATCTGGCACAGGAATTTGCGAATCACGGACAGAGATCGAATTTCATGAAATCAACCTACCGAAAGAACTCAGCCCACGCGGAAAGTCGTTTAGTAGTGAAATTGAGATGGCAGTTGGACTAAACGGGCTGAACCCTAACCCTTTTCCCAGCTAACGACATAATCGTATGCCGTCAGGAAATTGCCTGCTAACCAATCGGTCCCCACCCCACAGGATCCCATCTAGCTTTCTCTAGTTTTCTCGCGCCTGAACCAGTCACGAGCGGCATGGAGCTTTATGACAACGCGTCGAGGAGTGCGTTCGGATTGTGGTTGTTAATGGCTGCCCCACCGTGGGGTGGGACCAGATTTGTGAGCGGGCAATTTCCTGGGACGGCCTACGATTATGTCGTTAGCTGTCAAGGCCGATGCGAGGATGGGGTCGCAGGGTGCATGTGATCCACTCTCACGGTGTGACATATGATCGAATCCGCCATCACGACGCGTCTTCACCATGAATCGTTTCACGCATGGGCGGGTCGAATCTTCCGATTCGGCTCGCCTTGATCCTTAGGTCTTCTGACATACGGGGACGTTCAACCTCAATGAACGATTGGACGCGTGAGCTAGACTGGAAAATGGTAGTGGCAATAGTGCCACTGAGGAGGAATAGACAAAACTACAAGATAATTAGAGTAAGCATATCATCGGTGTTTGGGTCTCGTATCGATGGTCTCGTGTTGGATCATGGATGTACCCGATCGTCCTCTCTACAACTATCCACGGCACGGAATGTACGTTCTTTACACACCAGTCGTCCTGTCGTGACGCCACCACCACTGGTTATGGTTGCTGGTATCACAGTCCCAAATCTGAAGCTTTGGGAAGAAAGCTGTCAGCCGCCGCACAACAGTCACATAATCGTCCGAAGAGTCCTATACTTACGTTGTTCATAACGTCGTAATTCCCGTCCCTTACATCTACACACTTGTTGTTTCCAGCCCAAGAAATCGCCCATTGGCCTTCCACAACTCCTGCATAATTCCACAACTGGTTCGCGTTTCCCTCGGAGCACGACCAGATCTGGAGAAAGTTCCCATTCGACGCGTCCCCACCAGGAACATCCAAACACTTCCCATCGAACGTCTTGATCTGGCCGGTCTTACCAGAATCGGGCATGACCCAAGTGATGTTGCCGTTGGGCATTTCCGGCGATCCATCGACGCAATACCCGAGGGACACTTTGGCTCCATCGTTGTTAGAAGCAGCAGTCAGGCATACAGAGGATATATGTGGGCGGATGCCTTGCGCAAGGAGCATGCAGCCATCATCGCTTTGGGCTTGGGCACTGGTGATCGTGAGGAAATTAGAGGCTGCAACAACAAGGAGTGTTTTGGTTTTGGGGTGCATTGTGCGCAATAGAATCACGGTGGGAGCTATGAGCGTCGGACTGGAGACTGATGAAGTTGTAGTTTTGGCTCATTGCTTTTATATCAAAGGGGGTATACGTATATTACTGCACAGATGGGTCGGGCGACAACGGGAGACATGCCTCCGAAACTGATTCATTTTTGCACAACAGTGAGGTCATCCCGTAACACGTTGATTAATATTGGTTCGAACTGGAGATGAAACTCATACGAAGCTTGATGTTGACCCTGAACTTGAGAGAAAGACTTGACTGCTCACCCGGCATGAGTTCATATTGGGCTTGAACGGAATAGTATAGCTTCGAACATGTATCGACGCAGCAGTTCACGGGCACCAACGCAATGAGGTCGGGTTGGAAGCCAAAGAGAACTACGGAGGGCTACCTGGGCTCACGGCAGAGGAGGTTATTAAATTGAGGCGGGTACAACCATCTCAACCAGTTCGTGATGGCATCATGAACACGGTGACTCATCGATATCTCACAGCTCCTAATCGAATAGGTACCGTCAAAAGTGGCCATGGAGCAGCCTTATCTCAATGAACAAATTATTAGAGTATATAAGCGGCTGATTCACTCACAACCCGATTAGTTGAAAGAAGGGATGAATCAAATTTCCTATCCTCGATCTTTCTTCTCCGTCATCGCCTCGCCGCCGTGAGCTCTCACGCACAGCACGAACTAGCGAGCACGCTTAGGTTTATATGTGCAATACTAACCCCATCTCTGAAGCCTTCACAGCGGAGATTAAGGCCGAACGATAGATGCTACTTACAACTATATTGATAGTTTGACTCCCTCGCCTGTATACATATCTTATTTGAATAGGAATAGGCTGTCCCAGCCTCTGGTTACATCAAGCTGTTGATATTGGTCTACTGTAACTGTTCA